TTCTTTTTCTTTATTGATTTTAGAGAGGAAAGGAGCGATAGAAACATCAATGAGAGAGAACATCGAGTGGCTGTCTCCTGCATGCCCCCCACTGGGGATTTGGCCCACAACCTGGGCATGTGCCCTGACTGGGAATAGACCCAGCGACCTCTCAGTGCATGGGTCGATGCTCAACCACTGAGCCATACTGGCTGGGCAATGACAGAAGCTTTTTTTTTTTTTATCCTCACCCCAGGACATTTTTCCATTTTTTGTTCAGATAGAGTGGGAGGGAGGGAGAGGAAGAGAGAGAGAGAGAAACATCGATGTGAAAGGGACACATCGAGTGGCTGCCACCCACACGACCAACCAGGGCCGGGGACAAACTGCAACCGAGGTACGTGCCCTTAGCGGGAACCGAACCCGGGTCTCTCTGGACCTCAGGCCAACACTCCAACCGCTGAGCCAAACCGGCCAGGGCAGAAGCTTTTGACTATAAATTAGAATCTCATCTATGGACACATGAAAGCTAGTGACTTATTTACTACTGTCCTATGCTTTTAAATTGCATCTAAGCTTTCCAAAAGCTTTAAAAAGCAATTCACTGGCAACGAGCAGAGTGAAGGAGCAACTATTGGGTGGAGTTTTGTCATAAAGCAGCTATAGGTACATGGGTCAATCATTTACCTTTGATGATTCCAGTTTTTTCCTTTTATTACGTAAATACTACTAGACATTAAGATCTGAGTTTACCCACAGTTGTATGTCTTTATCCCTGGCAAATATAGGAAATATTCATGCTTTTTATTTTTAATAAACATATACACATACAAAATAAGATTTAGTTTTGGCTATCCTGCAGGTACATGTTATGAAGGGAAGGTATTTCCTCCATCTTGAAGGACGAGAGCCAGACAAGACAAAGCCCTCCACACTAGTGAACTGTGTACTCTCTGTGCACCCACACAGTTCCTTCTGGCTGCCTCTGTACCCTGACAAGTCACCCCGACTCCTCGCACAGCACTATGGGCGCGCTCTTCCCACACATGCACTACAGGGAAGATGATAAATAAATCCTCTGTTCACACGACAGCACCACGAACAGGCCTGTGTACTTTCTGGGGCTAATTGCTTAGGGAAAGCCAATACTCTAGTGCAAGTCTCATTCCAGTCTACATGGTAATTCTGTGCTAATGCCTTTTGAAATTAATTCAGAACTCCCCTGCTCCCCAACTAGCATTGCAGTAAAGGGCAAAGGAGCTAAGACTCAATCACATTGTCTGCCAGGGGCTTAATGTAAGATCTCTTTCCTCCATGAACTGGGCGATGGGGCCACAGAACTCGCTGCCCGCTGCTCCTCTGTAGCAATGCAGACCCACAGCAACACAGCTGCAGGCGGACGTCCTGCCAGGAGCCCGCCACCGCCAGGCTCCAGCCGAGAAGCAGTTTCTGACTTCCAAGAAGTCGCACTGTGTGTTCCATCAGTCTCCTCTCTACCTCCTATGACTGAGCCTCAGCTTAGGGTTTAAAACAACTCAGATCAACTGTAAATAAAAGGAGGCTGTGAGCAAAGTAACAAGATAATAACAACAGAACAATAATGAGAATATCAGCAAATGGTGGAGCTGTAAAAACAATCAAGACAGGGATAACTTGACCTCAGCTGAGGAGAGAAACCACAAAAGTAAATGGAGCATGGGTGGGTGAGCAAATTCACAGATGTGCTCTCACCTGGAAACTAGTAAGTATAATCTAGAAGCCCAGCGTCCATGCCTCCTGCACAATGCAGTGTCCTTCTACCATCGAATACCCTGCATTGACCAAAGGACTGCTGTCGTAACACTGGCTTCACCTTTGCTAGCACTCATCCTGAGATCAATTTCTTGTCTGTTCAAAAGCACACTGGACTGAATGTCATGCGATGTACAAATTCCTTACATATCACACAGAAATGATCGACATTTTTTCTCAGCTATTCAGAGAAACCAGGAAAATGTTTTCCATAGGATTTCCCCCCCTCATCCCTGACCTAGAGCCAAAAGTTACACAAGAAGATGGATCATAAATGCTTAAGAATCCAGTATGTGCATTTTTCATTCTCTCAGCTTTTCAAGATGCTGCATGGGGTCCCCAGGAGTAAGAAGATGACGTTCCTCTGGCCCATCCCTTCAGAGATAAATGCATTAATATAAGCAAACTAAAAGGAACTGAAACACATAAATCCATGCAAAATAGTACTTAATAACGATCAGCTGAAATGTATTAAGGTATTACTATGTGCCAGACACTGTGGCAAACTGACATTCTCTTCTCTCATTACTTCTCATCACCCCCCCACCCTCCGAGGGTGCTGCTAGGCAATCACTAGACTGTAAACTCTGTAAGAACAGGTAGCATGGACGCTGTTCACCACTGTAAAATCAGTACCTTCTTCATGTACTGGCTCCAAAGGACAGATGCACATTGAGATACTTGCTGAGTGAATGGTTTCCCTTTGATAAAGTAACTGAGGGTTGGAGAAGATAAATAACTAGCCAAAGACATATGATGCTAGAATGTGTTCCAACACATTTTTATCTTTTTTTTTTTTTTAAACAAGAGAAATTGAGGGGAGTGGAGGAAGATTAAGTTACTGCCATGTTTAATTTTCTTCCTCTTTTCATCTGCAAATGAAGATTAAAGTTACTGAATAGCAACAAAAGGACCAAACTCAGAGTCAAAGGAAGGGATAGGAGAGTCCACTAGCGCAATTTGTTAATAATTCTTTTTCACCCAGGAGAGCTCTTCCAGACTTCCAGCCTAGAAAACAGATATCTGAAGTTTCTCTCTGCGAGGGAGGAAATACAGCCCAAGTAACAGTCAGCTATCTGCCAGGTACTCTGTTAAACTCCTTCTGAAATGCAGTGAGTAACTGATAGAATTGATACACGTTAAAGGTGGTCTTCAAAGTCCAGTGCTCAATGCCCCGTACAGTGCTGACTTTTGTGTGTGGCTTGTAAAGTACTCTGATTACTCTGCAACCACAGCTCATCTGTTACCAGTATCTACTAAGATGTCAGGCAGAGAAATAAAGTATCATTGCTCCTGTTGGTCTGGATCCCACAGGCCATTCCCTTCAGTCTTAACAAGAAAAAATCAGAACTAAAATTTTTATGTTCCAGATTACAGCCTTTGGAGCATTTCCATATACCATGCAAGACAGAAAATCTGTGTCTAGGTATGCATAACACAACGAAGTGACTAAATATTAAATAGACATGATTTCCTAAAGAATAGAGCATCATAAATCAAAATTCTCATGGATCTAAATAAAGGGGGCGTGGTTGAGGTACCATAGGGAACACAGTTGACTTCAGGTGGTGAGAGCATGGACCTCAGAGTCTGGGAAGCCTGGGTTCTTACTGAAACTCAGTAACTTAGTTCTGTAATATTAGGCAAGTTACTTATGCAGTGTTCTCATCCACAAAATGGGGACAATAACAGCACTTACCATATAGGTTCCATATAGAATATTGAATACATTCTATATGTGTGAGAGCATAGGTAGAATGCTACTAGTAACTCAGTAAATTAGCTTTTGCTTTCATTATTATGACCACCACCACCACTTTAGTCTCATCTCTGAAGAAGTCCCTAAATATCATCCAAAGGAAATAAACTTGAAGCAATTAATTATTATATTAGTTAATACATACTGTCACCTTTAATTTTTACTTATTGAATGATTATGCTAGTTAGTCAGTGCTACCCCATATGGGTCGCTTCCATGATGCTATATTACAACCGAAGGAAAAAAAAAAGTAATTCCAGAAGTGACGTCTTTGTGGAAACGGGACTTACGGGAGAGGCTGTCGGGTTGGAAAAAAGAGGTGATCCTAATTGTCTTACAGTTGTGTCTGGCCAGCTTTGGCTGTAGATATTATTAGGCAAGTCAAATTGTGGAAGACTGTGAATTGTATTCTGAGTCAGAATCTGAAGGGGAGACTATACAATGCAAAATCAGTAAGTCCTTGTTTTAGGTAAGCAGTCTGACACTCAGTGCCCCTGTGATTTAACCCCTCTTGATGTCCGAGTGTTGGAGCATTTGTCCAGGAGGCCTAGAGCACACTGATTAACAAAGAGCTAAGAAGTCAAACCACATGCTAGTAAAAAAGGTTGCTGGGTCTGATACTGAGTATATATTAGCTGTTATTATTATTACATTTTTCATTTTGTAGTGCAACAATCTTGTCATGTCTATTTCTTCCTTTAGACTGTGAGATATTTCAATGAACTGGATGTACTCATTAATTTTCCTGTGTCCGATTCTAAGAGCCACTCAAAAAATAGCTGAATGAACGAGTGATTGAACAAGCAAATGAATACCAAACCAAGATAAACTCAGAACAGAAACCCTGACTTTAAGTTTAGGAAAATAAGAATAACCTTTCAGTTTCTTGATGAAATCATCTAGGAAGTAATTATCAGAGGAGCAGTCATTCCTCAGCTCCTTTTCTCTCCATCCTTTCCTAAATGAGGAACTTATGTGGCTTTAACTCACATCATCACCTGCACAGGCATTAACCATCCTTGACCATCGGGTCACAAGGTTTCATTGGCTCTAGCATTTCCCTCCCCAAAATTAAATGACAACTACAACAACAAAAACAAATGTCAAACTTATGATTAATTCAAAACCCAGAACATTTTTATAAAATACTAACAAAATTAGATTAATATATAATCAAATTAGTTTTGAACCTTTTAAAATTAATATTTTAAAAAATCCTTATTTTTTAAATATGTTTCCATGAGATTTTACTTAAGGGCTCCTAAATTATTTTGAGAGATTAGTTTTTACTCAAGCAGCAAATAATGCCTGCAAGCAACAACAGGTTTTTTATTTCTGCTTTGAAAAGTGATTTTAAATAGAAGAAAATGGAATTTGTCAACATTCTTCCCCTTCACCTCATGTTATTGTACACTGTCCCCTGCACCCCTTCACCTCACCAGAAAAGAAATAAAAAAAATATGGCCCTCACCTCCAACAGTTCATCTCCAATACGCATCCGTCCGTCAGTGGCAGCGGGTCCTTCCGGGTTAATGCCCACCACAAATATGCTCATGCGTGACCTGTCTTTATTGCCAGCAAGGCTGAGTCCAAGGCCATTCTTATCCTTTTCAAGTTCAATAATGTGCAATTCTCCAGGCAGATCTGCATATCTTTGCCTGATTTTTTCTATTAGAAAAAAAAAGAGAAAGAGAAAATTAAAAAGAGCAGTTGAATTTATATCACAGAGGTGTCAGCATTTCCCTGCCCACACTGTGATTCCTCTACAACAAAGGGTCCTTTTTTGAGAATGAAGTACTTGAGGTCCTTCATAGCCGTATGTATGTTACAGTGAAGAATTATTTTACATCTGTCTAAGAAGTTCACCCATAAAACCTTCCCTGATCATTCAGTTTCACACTGGCCTAGATTTTCCATGTGTTATTTTCTCATATAAGACAGTCAAAACAATATGGTGAAAACACTGGCCTCCTTGAACCCACTCCCAAAAAACAACAAAACAACAACAACAACAAAAAGGCGGGGTAGGGGGTGGGAGACAAAGAATATTTACTGAGCACCAGCTACGTGCCAAGCAAAGTGATGGGTCCTTGAGATACCATTCTGAACAAAAGAGACAGTTACTGTTCTCATGGATTTGCAGTCCAGTAGGAAAGAAAAGTAACAATTAATTTGAAATAATTACATTTCTTTAAAGGGAGTACAAAATAATATTGTGTGCTATGTGAGCAAAAACAAGGGGAATTAAGAATATTGATCTAGCTGTCAGCTCTAAATTCAATCTGCAAATCTAAAACTTTCTCAATATCCAATAATTAATCACTATTTTCTCTCTAAAGAATTAATCTGTGAAACGGGCATTAGATTGCTCACTGCATGGATGCTGAAAAAATGAACTAAAATACATGTTAAAGAACTCAGTGGTTCATGGCTTACAGGCATTCTATAATTCTTTTATTCGATCTTTTGTCTCATCTTGCTACCTCTACTTTATGGTCTTAATTACCTATTTTATATTTTAGGATTTGGCTGGCTAGGCTTCATTTGTGTTGGTTCTTTCTGTGCAACAAAACCAACTAGCAAATTAAAAAATGCAAGAAGAGAGAAAATAGCAAAAATAAGGGCATCTGTTAATGAAACAGAACTATCATCACCATGCCAAACAATACACAAAACAAAACTAACATTGCAATAAAAACCAATGAAAGTGAAACATAGTTCTTTGGAACCATTAATAAGACAGGCTCTGTAAAAAAAATAATCAAGAAAAAATATAAATGATACAAATAAACCATAGGACAAAAAAGAAAAAAATAACTGCAGACAGATTTAAAAAATAATGTTATTATGAATAGTATATCAGTGAACTAAATGTTGACACATTTTAAAATATAGAGAAGAGATAAATTTATCATGAAGTTTAAAATGCCATATTTAGTACAAGACTAAATGTAAACTGCAATAGACTAGTAATTATTAAAGAAACTGAAATGATCATAATGGATATTTCCTTTCAAAGATACCCCTGTCCTTGATATTTTTACATTTTAATTCTATCAGATTTCAAGTTATAATGAATTTTTATCCTATGTATTCTAGAAGATGAAAATTGTACAAAAAGTCATCTACCCCATTTTTTGAGGCTGGTATAATCCTGACTCTGATTCCAAAATAAAGACAAACCAACTTCTGGTCAAGATGGTGGTATAGGTAAAAGCGGTACTCACCTCCTCTCACAACCACACCAAATTACAGCTAATCTACAGAATAACCGTTATTCAGAACCTCCAGAAATCTGGCTGGATGGAAGTCCTACAACTAGGAAATTGAGAAGAAGCCACATAGAGACTGGTAGGAGGGGCAGAGATGTGGAATGGTCCGGCCCCACACCCACATGTGGCAGATAAAAATCGGGAGGACTATCTTGGCTGCAGAAGTTCCCCCCAAGGAGCAAGGAGTCCCAGCCCCAAAGCAGGCTCCCCCACTCAGGGTTCCAATACCAAGAAGAGAGGTCTCCATAACTTCTGGCTGTAAAAACCAGAGAGGATTGTGGCTGAAGGAGACTGAGGCTTCTAGAGTCCCAGGCAGTTCCTCTTTGGACTGCAGGCTGATGCTCTAACCGCTGAGCCAAACTGGCCAGGGCCCAGGCAGTTCCTCTTAAAGGGTCTGCACACAGATTTACTTGGACTCACCCTCTCTGAGCTCCAGCACTGGGCTGCAGCTTGAAAGGCACCAGAGACATAAGGGGAAGAACTGAACTACCTGGCATCAGGGCAAGAGCTGGGGGTGGGGTGGGCTGGGGTGGGGTGGGGTGGGGGGTGGCAGAGAGTAGCTTTCTCCCAGATAGAAGCACTGGCAGAAGCCATTGTTGCTTTGATTGGCCCTTCCCCCACAGACCCAGCAAGCAGGCTCCAAATCTGAGACTCCATCAATCTGGCTCACACTGTTTGCCTCACTCACCCTGGTGATTCCCTGATACCACGCTCCATACAACTTTTAGGTCCACCCAAGCTGTTTCCAGTGGTTTTTCCATACAAACGGCCTGTCTTGACTCATGCTTCAGATTTTCCTAACCTCTCTCAAATAAGCAGCAGCTGGCTTCAGCGAGTCCCTTGCCTCTCCCTAAGTGGTCCCAGGCCCAGCACTAGCAGCAACTGGCTTTGCTTCCCAGCTTGGCCTTGCCTGATCACCTCCAAGCCCAGCATAAGTAGAGTCATTTGCAAATTTCTTTGTAGCTCATGCCAGGTGGCCCAGGTAGAACACAGGTGGCAGTTGACCTTGGCATGCACCTTCTGGGAGGCACTAGAGCCAATGCACATGGTAGACATCTTCAGATCACATCAAAGCATTACCACCCAACCACCTCCACAAGTGACACACACAGGGGCAGACTCAGCAGGCACCGGAGCCCCACTGAAGTAAGTCTTGCTGGCTGGCTGGCAGAGGTGGAGGGGATAGGTGGAGAGGGGGAGGGGGAGGGGGGAGGGGGGAGGGGAGAGGGGAGAGGGGAGAAGGGAGAGGGGAGAGGGAGAGTGTGACACAGCTGATCCTCAACAGCAGTCAGAGGTGGGTGGTCCCAATCAGTCCTTACAGCTGATCAGCCTGGGGGTAAACCCCTCCCACTGACATGCCAATATTAATTAAAGCCCAACTACAAGAGGAGGGTATACACAGCTCACACAGGGAGTGCACCTTGAGCGCCCAGCTTTGGTGATCTGGGAGACTGTGCCACTGTACCCTACAGAACACCTACCACATCAGGCCACTCTACCAAGCTTGAGAGATGTAGCAGCTCTACCTAATACATAGAAACAAACACTGGGAGACTGCCAAAATGAGGAGTCAAAGAAACATGTCGCAAATGGAAGAATAGAACAAAACTTCAGAAAAATAACTAAACAAAATGGAGACAAGCAATCTACCAGATGCCAAGTTCAAAACACTGGTTATAAGGATGCTCAATGAACATAGTGAAAACCCTAACAGCATAATAAAGGACCAGTCAGAAATGAAGGATACACTAGCTAAAATAAAGAATAACTTACAGGGCACTGGCCGGTTTGGCTCAGCAGTTAGAGCATCGTCCTGCAGTCTGGAGAGACTTGGGTTCGGTTCCCACTAAGGGCACGTACCTCGGTTGCAGTTTGTTCCCGGCCCTGGTTGGGTCGTGTGGGTGGCGACCACTCAATGTGTCCCTTTCACATCGATGTTTCTCTCTTTCTCCCTCCCACTCTATCTGAACAAAATATTGAAAAATGTCCTCAGATGAGGATAAAAAAAATAAAAAAGAATAACTTACAGGAAATAACAGTAGAGTAGAAGACTAAGAATCAAATCGGTGATTTGGAATACAAGAAAGCAAACAACTCCCTATCAGAACAGAAAAAAGAATCCAAAAAAATGAGGATAATGCAAGGAGTCTCTGGGACAACTTCAGGCATACCAACATTCACATCATGGGGGTTCTAGAAGGAGAAGAGAGGCAGTAAGAAATTAAAAACTTATTCGAAAAAATAATGACAGAAAAATTTCCTAACATGGTGAAAAAAAATAGACATACAAGTCCAGGAAGCATAGAGAGTCCCAAATAACATGAGCACAAAGAGACCACATCAAAGACAAAGAGAGAATCTTAAAAGCAGCAAGAGAAAAGCAGTCGAAAATGCTCCCATAAGACTGTCAGTTGATTTCTCAACAGAAACTTTGTAAGTCTGAAGGGATTTGCAGGAAATATTCAAAATGATGAAAAGCAAGGACCTACAACCAATATTACTCTACCCAGAAAAGCTATAATTTAGAATAGAAGGACATACAAAGAACTTCCCAGACCAAAAAAAAAAAAAAAGCTAAAGAAGTTCATCAACACCAATGTTAATACATATCTACCAACAACTGAATCTAAGAAACATAATAAATGAACAAGCAAAACAGAAACAGGCTCATAAATACAGAGAACATTTTGATGGTTGCTAGATGGGAGGGGAGATTGGGGGAAAGGGTGATAAAGGTGAAGGGATTAAGAAGTACAAATTGGTTGTTACAGAATAGTGATGGGGATATAAAGTATAGCATAGGTAATATAGTCAATAATATTCTAATAACTATGTATGATGTTACATGGGTATGAGATTTATCAGGATAATGAATTAGTAAGTTATGTAATGTCTAATCACTGGGGGTACACCTGAAACTAACATAATAATATATGTCAACTGTAACTGAAAAACAAAAATAATTTAATCAGAAGCAAAAGCAAAAGAATAAAGAATAAAGTTACAGTTTTATTATGGACACAATTTTTTTTTGAATCCTTACCCAAAAATATTTTTTATTGATTTTTAGTGAGAGCATAAGGGGCGGGGGGAGGGAGAGAGAGAGAGAGACATCTATTGGTTGCTTTCTGTATGTGCCCCAAGTAGGGATGGAACATCAACCTAGGTATATGCCCTGACCGGATATCAAACCTGCAACCTTTTACTGTATGGGAGAATCTCCAACCAACTGAGCCACCTGGCCAGGGTGACATAGAAATCTTTCTTAAAGAAAGATAATTTAATCAAGAGTGTATTAAAAATATTTAATATGTCCTGGTGGGTTTGGCTCAGCAGTTAGAGCATTGGCCTGCAGACTGAAGGGTCAAGGGTTTGGGTTTGATTCCCAGTTAAGGG